ATGAATTCCTGGGTTTCTCCCATGAGAATTGACTTGTGTACCATACTTTCTCTAAGCTGCATTATGTCTAGCCTGTCTCATTCTCCTTGCCTCTCTGCTCCCAGTGTCCACTCTTCAGGTTTTGACCCCTCCTAGCTCTTCTTGTTTTGGAGTCAACCATGTTCGCATTTAGAGACCAAACCCTGGCTGGTTGTAATCCAGATAGTCCCAATTCTGCAACCACACCCCATCTGTCAGCACAGACATAGGCAAGCACTCTGCATGACAACATAGCAGAATGGGCATGAACAACATCGAACTGCTTAGCTCAGGGACCAGAGATTGCTCCTTGGAGGAGATGACATAATCCATTAAATGTAGCCTCTTTGCATCCACTTGGCTCCTATAGTCACCAGAGTATCCTTGTTTCCTGTTCTCACCTTAATATAATTAGTGATAACCATTTCCTTGCCCAGTGAGTCCTACTCCTTTACAAAATGAGTGTCCTGTATACAGTAATACAGGAAAAAAAACTCAAAAACAAACCAAAACATTCTGTCTCCAAGCCCAGGAAGAGTAGGGTTTTGCTAAAGGAGGTAATTTACCTTAGTAAGGCCTAGAGAGAGATGTCCCCACAAGTTTACAGATTGTGCCATTATACAGTATGAGGTTTCTAATTCTGTAATTACTTAAATATTTAGTCAAGTGCGGTTGTATTGCAAATTAATATTTCCATTTTTAGGTTATTTGTGTAGCCAAATTCTTCTTAGGTGTCAGTGAAGCAAGCGAGCAATTGTAATTTAGCATTTGGAAAGTTGGCATACATTTTTATGTCAGTTTCCCTTTTTAGCTAACTGCTGCTTCAAAAATCTTCCATGTTAGACATGGATGAAAATAACTTAGAGATAGGAGGAGCTTTTCAGACAGGAGTCAACAGAAACAAAAATCCTACTCTATCTCTGCACAGTACAAGCAATATTTAAAAATTCCAGGCATTTTCATGACGGTTTGAGTTGGAGGATATCTGGACTAAACACAGACCATAATCTTTCTAATAGCATTTTAAATTCTATGTTGAGCACATTGGCAGTTAGCCAGTTGTTTGGCAATATTACAGGAAAGAGGTTAGGTCAGAATGACCTAGACACATGCAGGAAAACCATTACCTTCCCAAGGCATTCTGCTTGAGGTAATAGTTTAGAAACGTACAACAAGGAATGGATTGTGTCATAGCAGTGAGCTTAGGAGGAACACCTGGGCTAATGAGTGCTACAAATGTGCAACAAGTGTTGATACTCCACTCATGGCTGCTGCTAAGAAAGAACGCTAAGAGGCTGAACACTGTTTAAGTGGAAAAGCTGACAGAGCGTGTCTGGGAATGTAGTTGCCTTTTGGCTCAGGATAACACTGTCAGGCAGTACCACCAGGTGGGCTTTTGGGCTCAGTGGGAAATGCTGTGCTTCCAAAGTGCAGTATCACTTTCAGGCTGGGAAAGAGCAGCTGAGAGGGATATGACTGAGCACAGTTACTACCAGACTGCGCTGAACAGAACAGAAAGCTCTAAGGTTATGCTATGGCCTGAAAACTTCAGTTCGGTACAGTTCCATTCCAGCTGTCTGGGGGACAAAGGCACTCTGATCAGCCATATGATCCATTTACTTTTCTCTCTCATGTCTGCGACACTAAATGTTTGAGAGAAGTCCCAGTAAAACTAGAATAAAACACTGAATATATCATGGTAAGCAAAAATATTTTTTTCTTCTCTTGATTCTGACCCTGTGAGCTAAATCATAATGTTAGCTTTCCTTTGCCATTTACTGCTAACACATAAACAAAACAACCACTCTTCTGTTGCAATGTGTCTGAGGTAGCTGTAATCACCATGCTGACTGTCAGTAATTGGTATTTGCTTTGGTCAGCTTTAAAGTCATGCTAACTAAAACTGATCTTCCTACTCACATACTGAAAGAAACATAGTATCTGGAGGCAAGATTAGGCATCTGAGGAAAACTTAATAAATCCTCAGGCACCAATGCCTGTCTCCCTCAGAGCTGGCATCAGTAGCCTCCATGCTCCAAATGAACGCTTGGTCATGCTCCCTAGGGTCTTGTCCCCTCAGTGTGCATCAACATTTCTACTAGTAGGACAAGGACAGCTTATTGCATTAGGTAACAAACCAGCAAACATTGTCAATAAGACATTTCTGTGATAGCCAAAGATATTTACTATTTTTTCTGAAGTTTCCTTCCTCCAGTACTTCATTGGAGCACTTTCCTGAACATGCTTAACATCACCAGAGACCTGTAGAATGGGGAATAATAACTACTGAAATAAAAGAACACAGCACACAGCGTGCCGTTCCTCAGGTGTGGGCTTTAGTCAGGATATTGGAATCAGTACAGAATAATTAATGAACTCTTTAATTACGTAATGGTTTAACATTGTCTTAAAGTACCTCAAGTATCCTGTTGCCACCCATATTAAGTTGGTTTATTATGGAATCGGCAGAAAGTGCTCACCCTGATGAAGTATGAGCGCACTGCCTGCTGTGCTGGTTCAGCTGCTTGTTGTCCATTCAGTCACTCAGCTACTGACATTTGATAAGATGAGATTGGAGTCAGAGGCTCCAGAACTACAGAAGGTCTTTGTCTTATAACCTCTGCTCAATAAAAACCTCTGTAAAGACTTTCAACTATTTGAAATCTTGCAAAATGGTTTGCAGAGGGCACCTTGCAGTTTCATAAGATACTACATGTTTTCACTTACAAAAAGTTGAAATAGCTGCCAGGAAATAAAGAGCTTAAAAATCAGATAAAATAGTTACCAATGAATTTTCCAGGGCTCTTCCCTCTTCCATTTTCTAACTTGTTAATACAAATGCTTCTGCAAGAAGTCAGTGCCAAGAAGTTATAGTGTCTATGTCTTGTTCAGATTTAATGTTATTTCATTGGTATTTTTTAGAAACTACTGATAAAACTAAAGATGTACTTGCTTTGACATTTTCCTTAAGATGTTGCCAAACTCACATCAAGCATGTACAAAGATTTTATAACTGAAGATACATATGCATCAATTTATGTATGCTATCATTTGACAGCATTGTCATAAAATGCTATTTTTAGTGCCACTGTCATCTGCTTCAATTATTTGAATTTTGTTATTCTGGCAAGCATAAAACTTGTCTGAAAATAATCAGGTTTTGATACGAGAACCACAAAAAATTGTAGGTTCCAAGAACAACATATCTTGATTAATCCAGATTTACCAGCATGAATGTTAGCTTTTTCATTGTTCTGTAATAAACAACCATACAAAGAAAATGTACTTCCTATGTTAGTGTAAGATATTTTGATAGTTCGGTAGAGATTGCATTCCTAGTTTCTTTTCTGTCTTGTATGGCATTGCTGTCTTCCATACCGTATAGTTGTTGCATAATTGCTCCCTTTCAATCATACAAACAGTGAGGTCAACTTGAGTCATGTCAAATAACTAGAGCAAATGCCACATATGAAACCATTTAAGATAACAAGTCATGTGATCACATATATTATCTCTCGCCTGGATTTTCTGGTTCATACTTGAAGTGTGTCAGAATACACAAAAGCAGCAGAGCTTACCAGCTGACAGTTTTGCCTACGATAAGCAACTGATGAGCAGTTTATTGCAACGTGTTTAACGCAGACAAGTTAGAATTTAAAGATACCTTCTTCTAAATCCTCATGCTGCTTCTTTAAACTGACCTTTTCAAGACAGAATTTGTGTTTTCCTGCAGGGAAAAAAAAACCAAAACAACCAACATGATAGGGATGAAGGTTTAATTTTATTTTAGTGGGTTTAATGACATTCAGCTATGTTATATTTTAAAGCTGCCTAATTATCAGATGTAACATCTGGGATACAGTATCTATCAGACTGTGTTTTATCCAAACTGGGCACAAATACAAGAAAGTGTTATTTGTATTTATTAAATGGAACATACAGAGAAAGGTCAACATTTTCCCTATTTATCCCTCATCAGCAGAGACTGGTGAGAAAGCAGGGTAAAAGTGAAACTCCTTAATCAACAAGAACTTGTGACTTCAAAAATATGCAAGACACATGGAAGCCAAGAACAAGCTTCTTACCCATGCATTTTTTCTTTTATTGTATATTATTCAGTTCAGTTATACTCATACACAGACCTCTGCTCTTCTTTACTGGTCAAAAGAAGTGGTCTCTTTTGCTACAGTGGTTGACAAGAAGAAAAGCATTAAAACACTGTTCGTAAACAAGCAATTAAGAGAAAGCAGAACATGGTTAACACAATTCCCATTAATATACTTTATTCCATTCTGTGGCACCCTCGAGGTAGTTAAACTGGTCAGTTGCTTCTATAACCCTCCCAACTATCTGTGATAGTAATTGTATTTACTGGCCCTTCAATGCAAGTTCTTCCGCCTTGTGTCTAGAGGTTTTGTGAGTCTTTCTTTTTTGTTATCTACACTGCAAGGCCTCACAGAGAAGAGTTAAGTCTCTTCTAACCTTACGGTCCTAGAGAGTTTCAAGCTGCTGCTGGAGGGTGTGTGGACCCATAGGTTGAACAATCCTGTTGGTATCTCTTACTGTGTAGAAGTGTGTTTCTATACTTATATGCTCTCATTAGGCAGTTTTTCAGTCATCTGCTCCAGCACTGGCACCATTCATATTCCCAATATAGCACAATGAAGTGGCTTTTCTTGCATGGAGGGGATTCTCAACACAGAAGCTTTATTCACAATAGCATTAAAAATGCCTGACTGGGTTAGAGCAGTAATCTGTCTAGGCCAGTTTCAGTGAGTGCCCACCCCAGCTAAATATTGCAGAATTTGCTGAATGGCACTTCTGTGGTTACTTTATCCACCATCTTAATTATTTTGTAAACCTAGAACACTCAGCCTTCACCTGCCCAAGCAGAATATTTCTAACCTTTTCAGTCTCTCTTCAGAAAGCAGCCGCCCCATGGCCTTGACCCTTTTAAGTGCTCTTCTTTTTGCCCTCTGTAGATTGATTCCCTGTCCTCCATGCAATGTAGAGATCAGAACTGTGTGCTGAAGTCAAGGTGAAAGTGCACCAATGTTTTACACAGTGCCAGAGTGACCTCTCTGTCACATTCTCAGTAACCTCCCTGATGATGTGCAACATAGTGACTTCCGGCTCCTGCTGGACATTGAGCCAGAAGGTAACTTCCCTCCCACAGCATCTCTGATTTGTCCTGCAGCATCTATTCTCTTTCTAAAAGGACTGGGCTTTTCCAGTCCCTTTCTCTGTTATAGCTATTTCTTTTTCTTTCCCTCCAGTCACATTTACTTTGAACACTCAAGAACTGGCAGAGTTAAAATCCAGGCTAATTCAGTGACTAAAGGCTTCAAACTGCTGTGTTTTTAACTGGAAAGCAGAACGGAATCCTAATTGGAAGCCAAAACCAGATCTGAACAGAATTTGAAATCCCATTTTGAAGCCCTTTTCAAACATACATCTATATAAGACTTACTGTTTCTGGCATCCCCTAGCACATATTTGTGCAGTATAGGGACTGTTTAGACTAGATTTTGCACAAGCCTTTGTTTCAGGACTGTAGCAAGGGTGCACTGGCTGCTCTGTGCTGCTCTTTAGATTCTCACTGAGCTTGTTCACTCAGGGACCTGCCTCCTAAACAGCCTTTGGTAGAAGAGGGCAGGTAATAGAATCATAGAATCATACAATCAATCATAGAATCACAGAATCATAGAATGGTTTGGGTCTGAAAAGACCTTAAAGCTTATCTAGTTCCAGCCACCTGCCATGGGTAGGGACACCTTCCACTACACCAGGTTGCTCCAAGCCCCATCCTACCTGGTCTTGAACACTGCCAGGGATGGGGCAGCCACAGCTTCTCTAGGCAACCAGCTTTGCCTAGCTTTGATTCCTGTCCTTCTGTGTCTGTCAACTGTGTGGTTATTACTAGTGACGTGCCCTGTGGGTAACAGTAGGCCTAAGTTTCTCAAGCCTTTTTCTGTCAGTCTTATGGTGCGCCTTACTGGGGTAGGTGTGTTTACATGTATGCGTTTCTGTGCTTTCATGACCTACATTTGTGTGTGTGCATTCATCTATTGGGTAGTGGTTCCCTACTGTTCCTGTTGTGGTAGCCTGTTCATTAGTCCTGCTTCCCACTCCTCTGCCTGAACTGCCACTAGCTGCCTGCAGTGCTTCACCTTATTTGCAGGCTTACATGTGGCCTTAAAGATTTGAGTAGAGAGAAGCTGCTTTTCTGGCATGGGAACATGGATGATGTCTGTCCTGAGACAAGGAAGCAAAGAGGTAGGCTGGAGTAACTTCCTGCCTGAAGGTCCATGCCCCAAGTGTGCCCCATTCATACAACATTTTTGTTTTCATATTTGTAACCATTCATAATAGAGTATGTAATATGTAAGCTGTGTGGGCTAAATGAGCCAACTAGTGAATCACTGTATACCCAGCGTAGAGTAAATTTAACCAGCACTGATTCCAAACCAGAGGTAAATAAAAAGTATACCATTTCAGCTGTTTCAAACCCATTATGAATAAAAGGCTGAATGTTGTACATGGGCATCATGCAGTATATACTTTTTTGAAGAAACTCTGCAGTCAGAGAGATTAAAAGAAATATCCTAATGGCTCATTTTTTAATGTCTCTTTGGGTTACTCAGGGTTAAAAATAAAATTGTAAAAATCCTTCATATAAGCCAAGAGAACTTTACAATCTTTTACAAGTCATCTCTACTGTCTTTAACTTCCTCATGTAGAATTTGAAGAAGCCTTTCATACCAGATACACTACTTCCTTCTTGTGTAAGTGTTGTTGGATTATGTGTTATAATAAAACCACTTTGCAGCAGGTTATTTATTAAAATACTTGTATTATATTAAGTATATATAACTTGCATAACTATATCAGAGCAAATACAACTGTGATTTCAATCCAGCATAAAAATGTCATTGCAGAAAATAGTCCCTTCTGTTTGTAACAGAGGAACAGAGTCAGTTCTGTGACGGTAAAAGCTGACAGCTCACACCTAACTACTGCTAAGGTGGTGCTTTGTTTATGCCTTATTTAGCTAAATGGGAGAAACAGGTCAGTCTGATTCATTACACTGTTCTGATCCCTGCCTTTTAAAAAGCTCTCTGCCTAGAAATAAAGAGCATGTTACATCTCTCCAGCCATAAGTTCTCCTGAAAAGGCAGTACTGGTCTTTCTAACTTCAGCCTTCTTTACTCATCAGTAAATAGGTAATTCCTGTAACACACAAGAGACAGTGTTCTCTTTCGATCCCTTCATGTCACACCTTGAAAACATTATTTTCTCAAAAAGTGCTGCTGTGTTCACTATTTCCTGGTAGCCCACAGTGGCAAAAGTGGTATCAGGATAGAAGAAGCATCCAGTTGGGCAAAGTGTAACCCCTGAATTTACTTAGAACAACAGAAAGAGTAGAATAGTTTCCTTTCTCCATCTCTTAAGAATATGTAAAGGTATTGTGCTATTCCTGCATTTTCTGAATAAAGCCCAGGAGAAATGAAAAATTTGAGTCTCTGCCTTACTCAGCATAGTGAGTAACTAGCCCAGGCCAGATATAAAACTGTTTTAAAAGCAGGCCTCCCTGCTGGCAGCAGCAGTGTGCCACTTTGACATACAGCAATAATTTTAAATGAGAGTGATTTATTTTTCTTTCAAAGGCAGCAGATGGCAGCAAAGTTGTACAGATGCGCCAGACTAGTGGAAGAAGAAAAATATCTTAGTACACACACTCTTAACAACATTCCATGGAAAAAAGGTATCATTTGTTTCTGTCTGACTTGCAGTGTGGTTAAGAATATAAATCAGGTTTAATGGACCTCGTGCACTTGTAACGTGAGGGCTTTTTTTCCCCATTATGAGTAGGTAATAAAATCAGATAGGACAAGATGATGTGAATTATCACTCAATAAATTATCTTTGTCTCTGCAGGAATCACTCCTTTGTGTAAATCTTTTTAGATCCTTCATTAAACAGATACTGATTGCCTTGTGCAAATATTATCACAAAGTGCTAGACTGTCTGTGTGTGCACCCTGACCAATACAAGAGCTTTGGCTGCCACTCTCTGCTGTGAGCTGTGTACCCCACTCACTTTCTCACTTGAGTTAGTTTCTGGGTGCATCCTTTCCTGAGGTTCCTAAGTAGGTGATGAGATTTTTTTTTTTAGAGAGGAAAGAGAGAGGAGGAAGGAAATGCTGCTATGTAAAGTCATAGTGGTTAAAACACTCCAAATTCCTACTGTATAAAAAAAAAAAAAAAGAACTCTGGGGTTTGGACAAGAACACTGAAAGTTTCTGGGATTTGATCCCTACTCATGAAAGCATTTAGCACCACATTTGACACATGTATGTTGGTTGAAGTTCTCATTGCCAGCAGCACTACACCACATCCATTTAAGAGGAGCAGCAATTATCATACATTGTTGAACTCATTTCAGATTGAACTGAGAACGTGGATTTGAGTTAACTCTTTTTGAAAGAGTTCCTGTCCCTTATTTCTACCTTTTAGTAGTTTCTTCAGTCTTTAAACCAGAACTTGTGAATAAAGTATAAAGCAAAGCTTACAATACAATCTTTCAGTATAAAAATGTTTTTGAAAGAAAGCTGAGTCTTAGATTTTTACTTTTTTTTTTTCCTCCTGCTGAAGCCAGTAGAAGTTTTGTTTCAATTAATGGGATCAGTCTCAGGCCTGGGATTTGGTGTTGAGATTCCTATCTGGCTTACCAGTTCATCACCACCAGAATGTCTGTTGTCTGTAGGCAGTAAGTAATGATATATTCCAGTTGCATATTTTTCATGTTGTTTATCAATAAAGAGCCAGACTATGAATTTGTTCCTTATGCAGAATGAGATGCAGAGTTTCAAAGCCCCAGGAAAAGAATTACTTAGAAAATGTGACTTAGAAATCCATCACTTTTTTCTTCTCTCTAAAGAGAGCAAATTTACACAGTGCAGCTGTCTTCTCCCAGTGTGCAGACTCTGATCTGCTCCTGAGTCCTTATATACAGGGAGGGAAGTGTAGTGGCCTGTAAGAGTTTACTGCTTTCTAGCAGAGAGCCACAGTAGAGTCAGGTCATGGAAAGGGAAAGGGGGAATCCATGCACTCTTTTGTCCTCTCCCGTAACAACAGTGGGATGAGTTAGATGCTGGCCTTTTCCTCTTACAGTGTTTTGGTCTCATGATAACTCCTGTGACAGTAACCACCTATTAAAAGGACAATAATCATGTTTGCTTGAGGAACTGCTTAGTTTGCTCCTGAACTAGAAGATAAGATCTGTTATGTTTGTTCTCCCATTTCTGCCAATACTACTGAACATCAGAGATTAAGACCTGGACATTTGTTTGTTTATTTTTACATCAAATTAACAAAGTATGAAGAAAATATAAACCATTTTATAATTGCTGGAAAAGTTGCATGTAATTTGCAAACTGACAGATCTGGGAAGTGATAACTTGACTGAAAGAATCAGAAGAATATTTATTTTGCAAACCCATTCTGAGAGTCAGAATTTATTACAAAATATTTACCTTCAGCTAGGTTGGACTGATCTTTCCTGGCTTTTGAAAAACCCAGGCTTTTTTAAGTGGGTGGGAGACTCAAGGAGGTCCAATTAAATGTTAGGTAAAAGTTATCACAGAATCAAAAATGTCAAAGATTTCATTTGGCCTCCTTATTGCTGTTGGTGTTGCCTGGAAGTTTGTGGGCAAAACACTCCAGTCTTATCAAATAATTAACATTGATTCTAGTCTTAACAGAACCATTTGTTTTTCATTTGGAAACATTACAGTTATCAAGGATTTTGCCTAGTGTACGTAGCATGTAGTAAAAAAGGTTTTTACATAGCAAAGTTCTTTACCTCATGAACAAATTATGCTCCTTCTCCTCATGAAGGATACATGGCCCTGCTCCAAAGAATTAAGTATTTAAAAATTAAAGCAATTTCAAAGCTGACATAATTATTTGGTGAAAAAAACCTGTTCTTTAAGAAATATTTGGATGATAAAAGAAAACCCTTGTGAACACAATAAACAAATTTTACTTAGGCATAATTGTATTTAGTTATTGATTGTACTCAGTCATTCTGGATTTTTTTCTCCTGATGCCTGTGTGCTCTACACTACTTAAGTATGATGTGAGATAATATAAAATGGTGTATTGGCGGCACAAGGAAAATATTTGGATGGCTGTCTGGAGTTGCCATTATTGGCTTTAATTATGACTTGCTGTCCTTTGGGTAATAAATGAGCCAGAAAAAGTTTCATATGTGCCAAAGTATTCATTAGTATTCCCCTTTCTGTCATTGTGCTTGCAGAAGAAGTTTATATCTGGCACCTGACTGCAGTTCTTATTAGCACTGACCAAGATACTTTGCAGATTTTGATAATCATCTGAGAGTACACCAGTGTCTCTACTTTTTGGATACAGAAGTTGTTCCTAGGGTAACAGTGGCAGAACTCTTTGACCACATTCTGATCTAACTTGAGAGCAAACATTTTTTGCAGTTCTTGATGTGACGCGGCTGCTTAAAGTTAAGATTTGTGGTACGAACTTGTCATGGTTTAAGCCCAGCTGGCAACCCAGAAACACACAGCAGCTCTCTCACTCCCTCCCCTTCCTCTCCCTGCTCCCAGAGGGATGGGGAGGAGAATCAAAAGAATGTAACTCCCAGGGGTTGAGATATGGACAGTCCAGTAACTAAGGTATAACACAAACCACTGCTGCTACCACCAATAATAATAATGATAAGGGAAATAACAAGGGAAGAGAATACAACCACTCACCACCTGCCAACCGATTCCCAGCCTGACCCGAGCAGTAATCTAGCCCTTCCGAATAACTGCCCCCAGTTTATATAGTGTGCATGACATAGAATCATAAAATAGTTAGGGTTGGAAAGGACCTTAAGATCATCTAGTTCCAACCCCCCTGCCATGGGCAGGGACACCTCACACTAAACCATCTCACCCAAGGCCTCGTCCAACCTGGTCTTGAACACTGCCAGGGATGGAGCATTCACAACCTCCCCGGGCAACCCATTCCAGTGCCTCACCACCCTCACAGGACAGAATTTCCTCCTTATATCCAATCTAAACTTCCCCTGTTTAAGTTTTAACCCATTACCCCTTGTCCTACCACTACAGTCCCTAATGAAGAGTCCCTTCACAGCATCCTTAGAGGCCCCCTTCAGATACTGGAAGGCTGCTATGAGGTCTCCACGCAGCCTTTTCTTCTCCAGGCTGAACAGCCCCAACTTTCTCAGCCTGTCTTCATACAGGAGGTGCTCCAGTCCCCTGATCATCCTTGTGGCCCTTCTCTGGACTTGTTCCAACAGTTCCATGTCCTTTTTATGTTGAGGACACCAGAACTGCACACAATACTCCAGGTGAGGTCTCACGAGAGCAAAGTAGAGAGGCAGGATCACCTCCTTTGACCTGCTGGTCACGCTCCTTTTGGTGCAGCCCAGGATACAGTTGGCTTTCTGGGCTGCAAGTGCACACTGAAGCAGACTCATATTCATTTTCTCATCAACCAACATCCCCAAGTACTTCTCCGCAGGGCTGCTCTGAATCTCTTCTTTGCCCAACCTGTAGCTGTGCCTGGGATTGCTCCAAGCCAGGTGTAGGACCTTGCACTTGGCATGGTTAAACTTCATGAGGTTGGCATCAGCCCACCTCACAAGCGTGTCGAGGTCCCTCTGGATGGCATTCCTTCCCTCCAGCGTATCAACCGAACCACACAGCTTGGTGTCATCAGCAAACTTGCTGAGGGTGCACTCAATCCCACTGTCCATGTCAGCGACAGAGATGTTGAACAAGACCGGTCCCAACACCAATCTCTGAGGGACGCCACTTGTTACTGGTCTCCAGCCGGACATTGAGCCACTGACCACAACTCTTTGTGTGCGGCCATCCAGCCAGTTCTTTATCCACCGAGTGGTCCATCCATCAAATTGATGTCTCTCCAATTTAGAGACAAGGATGTCGTGTGGGACAGTGTCGAACGCTTTGCACAAGTCCAGGTAGATGACATCAACTGCTCTACCCCTGTCCATCAGTTCTGTAGCCCCATCATAGAAGGGCACCAAATTGCTCAGGCAGGATTTCCCCTTAGTGAAGCCATGCTGGCTGTCACCAAGCACCTTGTTGATTTTCATGTGCCTTAGCATGCCTTCCAGGAGAATCTGCTCCAAGATTTTGCCAGGCACAGAGGTGAGACTGACTGGTCTGTAATTCCCTGGCTCATCCATTTTCCCCTTCTTGAACATGGGGGTTGTATTTCCCTTTTTCCAGTCATCGGGAACTTCACCTGACTGCCACAATTTCTCAAATATGATGGCCAGCGGCTTCGCAACTTCATTCGCCAGCTCCTTCAGGACCCGTGGATGGATTTCATCAGGTCCCATGGACTTGTGCACGTTCAGATTTTTAAGATGGTCTCGAACCAGATCCTCTCCTACAGTGTGCCCAAGGTCTTCATTCTCACAGTCCCTGCATCTGCCTTCCAAGACTTGGGTGGTGTGGTCAGAGCCTTTGCCAGTGAAGACCGAGGCAAAGAAGTCACTGAGTACCTCAGCCTTCTCCAAATGCAGGGTAGCCAGTTCTCCTGAGAGCTTCCTGAGGGGGCCTATGTTCTCCCTCGTCTGTTTTTTATTTGCTATGTGCCTGTAGAATCCCTTCCTGTTATCCTTAATATCCCTAGCCAAGTTTAATTCTAACAAATTTAATTCTAACATGCTGTGTTAGTTGGCTGTTGGCTAGTTTAAGTCAGGTGTCCTGTCTCTGCTTCCTCCTGGCTTCCCCTCCTCCCTGGCAGAGCATGAGATTCAGGAAGTCCTTGGTCAGAGTAAACATTACTGAGCAGCAACTAAAAACATTGGTGTTATCAGTGCTGTTCCCAGGCTGAAAGTCAAAAACACAGCACTGCACCAGCTACTGAGAAGGAGAAAAACACCTGCTACTGCTGAGCCCTGGACAGTATCCACCCCTTATTCCATATCATTCACGTCATGCTCAGATCTCACATTTTTCGATATACCATCACTCTTGTCTCATATACATATATGTGTGTGTATACACACAATCACACACACATTCAAAGAGAGAGAGAGAGATCATTCCTTAGTGCATGGACCAATCCCTATAAAGCTGCTGAGTTCACCCAATCCATTTTCGGCTCCATCTCTTGTAACAGTCTTTCAGAGCAGGAGAGGCATTGTCCTGAACCCAGGACACAACTGGAGAAAGAAAAATGATTACTTTTTTCACTCCTTCAGATTGGGGGACCTGCACTAGGTCTTTATGAGAAAGCACTTGTATATCAGCATTTTAGGCCCCTTGCCACCATTCTGTATAGCATTAATAATGGAGCCGTAAAAGTTTCTGAGATAAAAATAGCCTTTGGAATATATTTTGATAATAAGAAAATTGTCTATAGTGAAGTAGTTTTTCTTTGCCATAGGGTGTCTCTAGAGTAGGAATAAAACAAAATAATAACTCATAAAGAATATTTCAAGAACTCTTCTGACACTTCACTAAGGAGGCTCTGCTGAGGTTGGTGACCACTCCTTTGGCATCCACTCTTGAACAGACTGGTGAATAAGGATGAATTCCTCCTCCAATACATGTTTACTGTTGCAAAACTTGAATTTAGAACTTTGTTTGAACTGAACTTACAGTCATGTTTTAAGCAGCCTTTGAAATGCTGGCCTGTGGGACACCAGACTGTTCTTATAAACTAGTGTTTTAATTAAAGCAGTGTGTAAACAAATGCTCCTGATTTTGAAGGCATTTGATGACATTTTCCACTTCTCATCTGTCACATTAGGGCATAAGCTGGACTTGACATAAGCACACAGCTATTCTTGAGCTTCTAGGACTTTGAGAGGATTCTTGCTTATGGGCTGATACTGTTTCACAGTCTTGTTCTCCCTGAAGCCTCATGGGTTTCAAAATCCTCAAACTCCTCAGAGATTTTAATCTAGTTCATGGATGGATTTCAACCATTTAAAGGCTAGTGCCCAACATTTTGCTTTGTGGGATGTTCACCGTGAAAAGATGCTTAGCCAAAATTCTTCAGTAATGTCACCTGCTTGGGCAGAAGGAAGAGCTTTGACCTTGACTCACCTCAGGTGAGTCACCTTGGCTGCTACCTGGGGCAGGTGCAGAAAAGGATGAGGAGGAAGAATGCTGACTCTATATATTTTAGCCCTTGCAGCCCAGATCCCCCAAACCTGGAACTCAATTTGGGATATGGGGTTAGCTCTGTAATTGGAAAGAGTCCCTGTCTGCTCTGTCATTCTCCAGCCTACCTAGCCTAGCCAAACTAGGTTGGCTAAAATACACGGTCATAGTATTCCCAGGGTTTACTTTTCAGGTGATGCAATCAAAGAACATGCTGTCTTCCACTCATAAGGCTACTCACTACTTTCTAGCCTGTCTAATTCAGGTCTTTACACTTTAAAAGACATAGTTTCAAAGACTGGAGGATGAGGAGTGGTAGGGGTGGGAGTGAAGGGAATTAAAACAAACAAGCAAACAAACTGGTTTGTTTGCTGGTTTGTTTTTTGTTTTTTTTTTTTTACCTACAGAGTTTTGCTTCTCCCTACAAGCGCGGCAGGTGGTGCTCTTGATCCTTCCAAAAGGAAATTCTATTTACTAAGCTCCAGTAAGGTCAGAATTATGCCAGTCAGCACCAGCTTGCTAGTTTTAGCCCTGTCCATCTAGTCCAAGGATCTTTCAGCTCTGAGTGAAGTGTTTTCTGTCGGTGAAGGGAAAGGAGGGAAGAAAAGGTATTTTAGTGGGGACTGGCTTTTGTCAGTAAATGAAGAAAAGATCAATACAAACAAATGTAGCTAGTTGGCAAGTACATACTAACCACACTCTAGCCCAATCCAGCCTTACATCCCAAGTTTAGATGACAAAGATGCTAGCTGTGTAGCCCGTAAGTAAAACATTGCAGCTATTAAGTTGAGTGGTTCTGTTGAAGCCGTTTCAGTTGTGCTCTTTAAGTAGGATCTGATTTCACCTACGCAATGTAATTTCCCGCTGCAAGCACTCCAAAATTTATGAGCTACAATTATTCTAATTTCAAGATCTTTTGTGATTTGAGAATAGGCTCTTGCTTGTTTTTCAGCTGGTAGATATAACCTGTGCTGAAGATCATGCATTTGCTATCACCCCTTACAATTTGCAGTCTGGACCAGAAAAGCCACTGGCAGTAGAGAGGTAAATTCTCTTCCAGCTGTTAACAAACAGATGATAATTGAAACTGGCAAATGTCAATATATATATGAATTTGGGTTTTATATAAAAAAGAGAACATTTCAAGTTGAAAACCCATCTCTCTATTCCAAAATTGAGTGGAAAACGCTTAGGAAGTAATTAAAAATAGGTAATTCTGAGAACTTCAAAACTTTGGGGAGAGAAATCATTATGAATACATGCCAGGCATCGAGTCAACTAGATTCCTCCCCAAGTTTTTTTTTTTTGCAGCAGTATTCCTGGAAAGGTGTCATTGCCAGTTCTTTTGAAATTTTCTTGTATATGTATGCTTCGTCAGCATTTAGTATTAGGTTAAAAAATAGCCCACTTCATTTATTCTAGCAGCATTTAGTGCTGCTGTTCCCAGAATTCTACACGTTAACTATGTTCAGAGATACTATAAAATAGGGGAATTTGCATGTTTTGCTACCCAAGATGTTATTAAAATACACTTGTTTAGTTTTTAGATTTTCTTGGCATGCAAAGGGTAGACACCAATAGATGGTGCTATTGGTGCATTAATAAGGTTCAGGTTCACGTTTGTGTTCTGATCTGTGGCTGGAATTTGTTTAAAAAAAAAAAAAAGGAACAAAACAACAAACCCCCTAATGCTAAGCTTTTATTCAAGATGTTCTGCCCACCCTGAACTGGTCACCATTTAACTTTAACCTGAACTGTGGCCCAGGAAATCCTTCAATATAAATAACCTTGGAAGCTGCCATGACCATTTTTGGAACACGCTCCCTCAATAAATCTGTTATTTTGTTGTGCAATGTTGAAGTGTGCAGTTGTTTCCCTGATTAATTAGGGCAAAAAATAAACTTGCACGATCAATCCAAGCTGTGACACGTTTCAGCCCTGGCTGGAACATGTGGATAGGAAAGGCCTCAGAGCCTTTTCAACTGATCTGACCTGGGATTTTAAGATGCATTCTTGCTTTTGGGTTTACTTGATCCAGCCAGATAGGGTGGCTGCTAACAAAGCCTGTAACTGAAGAGTTTTGGTCTGGCACAGAAGGGCCAGGCTAGCTTAGCAAGGGTAGGGCTGAACACAGTATAACATCGTTCATCTTGACCACCTGCCCCCACTAAAGACAACATAAGAGAACTGGTTTATGTAGTGTTTATTTCACATATTACCCGTGGAGAACAGCTGATACATTCTCTACATCTTTCACGAGTCTGGAATGCAAGATAAAAAAGGGTATGGAAAAAAAAAAAGGTAACATTTGACATTCATGATATGAAAAATAGAGGGGATACAAAGTTTAAAAATGCCCTTATGCAATATATATATAAAACGTATAAAAATAAAATATATTTTCAAAAAAAAAAGATACAAACAGGACATGACAGAGGACAATCTTAAATATCGATACGTATCTCATGATCCACACACACCGCACTTAAAATTAACAAAAACCACGTACAATTGCACTTTTCCTCTCTGGAAGGTTCAAGTATATTACAGTCCCCGCAGGGACTAGTGAGTGTCCGATTCCCTGCCGGGTGCAGATATCGCAGAGGGTAGAGCAGATGTGGGCGACATGTCCTTGCCGAGGGCCGAACGCGCACCCCCAAACAGCCATGGGCAGCGGGCGAGGCGGGGGCCGCGGTCCCAGGGTCCGGGGGCGTAGCGCAGCGGCCGGCGCCCGCCGGCGGGTTTCCCCGGCCGTGGGTCTCCCCTGAGCAGCCCCTCTTCGGGGCAGACGGGGCCGGGGCAGTTCTGAGGGCGGCCCGCCGGCAAGGAAGGCCCGCCCCCCCCCTCCCGAGTGCAGCGGCGGGGCAGGGGGCGACATGGCGGCCGGCAGGGTAGAGGCGCCTCTGGCGCCTTCCAGTCCCAGGCGGCGGCGGGCGCCGGAACCAGCGGTGCCTCGCGCGGAGGGTAAAGAGTCAGTGACCGGCCCGCCGCTGCGGCGGACCGGGGAAGCAGCCTCTGCGCGTTCCCAGGGGGACGCGGCTTTCACAGCTTCCCCACTCCGACCCCCAGCGCGGGGCGCGGGCCGCAGAACCGGCTGCTCCTCACCCTGCCGGGCCCTGGCAGCGCGGCCCGCCGCTCCGCCGTCCCCGGCCCTGGGAGGGCGCACCGGCGTTCCGCCTGGACAGTCGCTCTCCGCGAATACTGGCGGCGGCCGCCGAGCAGCAGCGGACCTCCGGAGCGTCCATACTTAAGTCCACCCATCCGAGACGGCCTCGGCCGGTAGCACGGAGTTCAAACCCCGAAGACGGCGGCGAGCGGCTGCGCCCGTGGCGTCCGGAGGCGCCGCTCGGACCGGGGGGAGCGCGCAGGGCCGAGGCGTTCGGGCAGGGAGCGCCTCCTGCGGCCGTAGCCCTGGGGACTGATCTTGCTGGCGGGGGCGGTGTCGTCCTTGTCTTTATCGGTCAGCTGGTAGATCTGGTGGGCCAGCTTCTGCACCGTGCACGTCCCGAACCGACACCCCGTGCGGATGGCTTGGAAGTGGGGGAAGCTGTTAATGCTCTGGCGGTAGCGCTTGACGCGGATGTGAGCATCCTCCCGAGTGCTGCGGGGCAGGAAGAGGGAGAGCGGGCATGAGAAACGCGCAGTGGGGCTTCGGAGGAGAGGAGCCCGTGGGACCAGTAGGGGAGGGCAGGGAGCCCCCGGCCTGGAGGTGGACCCGCCCCGACGGTGCAGAACTGCCACCCCCCGGCTTTGCCCTTCGTATGGTGGTGGGAGAGGAACGACCTGGTCCCAGGGCAGAGACTCAGCCTGCTGCCGATGGGAGAAGAGGCCCCGCCGTTTTACGGCGGTTACTTTTATCTATGGATCCAGAGCTCAAGTTACTATTTATATTTGACTTTCACAGTAAAGGTTCTGCTATCTCCCGCCAGCTGAAGAGCGCGGGGAAAGGGAAGCGGGAGGGTGCTTTCAGTGTGCTGTGCAGTCCGGGCAGAGCCTGCCTATGGGACCTGGGGGGGGGATCTACAGCGAGATTAAGCCGGAAACGAGGGGACTCTGAAGCTTCCCACTGTCTCGATCAAGTGCCCGAGACCAAAAGAGGCTGGAATGTACCTGGGATGCGAGATTCGAGGTTCCTCCTTCACGTCCTGGGTCCGTATGAGCGGCTGCACGTCGGCGGCTGCCCCCAGCCCTCGGAGTGCGCCTGTGGGCTTCACGTCCCGCTTGGCTCGGCTCAGTGCCCATTTTGTCCATCTGAAAGGAGCGCAAGGGAAGAGGACAGCCTGTTAGCGCAAGCCTGCAGGGCGGGAGCCAAACCAAATAGATTCGAGGGGCGATTATATTTGCCAGCGCCGAGGTTTTTCTAATTTTGTTTCCTGAAAGGGAATGAGGCCTTTAAGGCGCTGTGCAATTCCCGCAGGGAATTCAGTCCCTCCGATCGCGGACGGAGTCCGGCGCGGAGGCTCCGGAGCGGGACTGGGCGCTGGCAGGAGGGCGCGCTCCGATACTCACTTTCTTTTGAACTCTGTCGCTACATTCACCCTTGCAGCATCCATGCCGAGGAAGGTGACAGAGCCGAGATAGAGCAGGGCTACGTGCACCAGTTTCATTCTGGCTGGGATCCTGGCGGAGGCAAGAAGAGAAGACTGTAAGCACGATTGCAAATATATGTCAAGTAAGGACCGTCCTTCATTTCCGGTGATGCCAGAGAGCTCCTTTTCTCGGAGAGCCCCCAGGCTACCGGGGACTTTGTGTGCGGTATGAACAAGGAGCTAATATTTACTCAACTTATCACAAAGTGAATAGCAGAGCCTCCAAAGTTTACGTTTGTCGAGAGTTTTACTTGCAGAGAAGGCTGAAACCCAGAAGGATTTCCAGAATACCCCCAGCGGCTTGCACTAGGATTTAGCAAACCCATGAGATTAGAGGGAGTTGACTCTGAGATGCATCGTTTCCAAACTCCAGCAAGTGTTTTGCTGCCTGGAAGCTGATCCCCTGATAGCTCATCTTCCCACTTCACACGCAAAACCAGCTAGCTCTGGATCTTATGTTGTAAACTGCCAGTGCAGTTTGACTCTGCAGCATAACTCCAAGCTCTTCAGAACAGTCCAGATTTAGCAGACTTTTTACTTCCTTTCCAGCTTCCCTGCATCTTTTGTTTGTTTGTTTTTCTTTTTTTGCTGGAATTATTGAGGAAGGGAAGAAGAAAAAAACAAAAAAGCTCTTACCTGCCAGTGAGGATAATCCACTGAGACAAATGTTTTTGTAGTAGCGATCCGAACTTGCAGGGTTTCCTGAGGAGCGAGCACTCCCTCTTTGTGTGTCTGAAGTAACCACTGCAGAGCTGCGCTCCACCGCTCCCTTTTATAGAGAGGCGCGAGGGAAGTGGGTGGACCTTGGCGTGGCTGGGCGATTCTTCATTGACACTTACCCCCACCCCCACGTCCTGAGCACTTCTTGAACATTTTAGAGGGGACTTTTTTTACCCTGCCAGGGTAAAAATAAGAAAATTATTGAAAATTGTCTTCAACAACCCTTTTGGAATTTTGTTGATTACAGCGACAGATTTTAGGTGTGGATTCTGAGTCGTGGCATAACTTGCAAAATCTGATAAACCCCTCAGTCTGTTTCACTGCGGACAGAGGTTTTAACTGCCGATATATAGTTATGTTTACATGGTCTGTAGTATAATCTCTCATTCTAGGCGTCTTGACTTCAGGTGCATGGAAACAGAGGGTTAGGAACTAGAGTCGATCAATTTAAAAATCCGTGCAAATCCATCAAATCCTAACGTTCCAAAGTTAAACCCATATTTGGACAACATGAATTACAATGAGTGACTGTAATGAATGCCAGCCTTCTTTACATAAGTAAGGAGGTGACAAATCAGATATCATTAATATTTATGACTCATCTTGGGTGCCCTTTTTATCTAATAAACTGTATTTGATTTACTTGATCGATTCAAATAAATCAGACCTCAAATGGGTTTGGGAGATGGAGGTTAGGGCACACTGCTGTACCTCTGAACAAAGAAAGCAGTATGGCTTTGAGGCAAACACAGACTCACTGACGTGTGGGGATCAGAACCGGGGGAGACCTGCCTGCCCTCCAATTTAGCCCCATTCCTTGAACCTTTCTATATATGTGAGTGCACTTACTTCCCCGGTTATGAAGCTAAATCGGTGCAGGATCAAGGTCTCTAATAGGCTTCCCCGGCTGGCCAAAAGCAAAATCTTATTCTGCCACTTTTTTGTGTGTGGTGCGGTTTTTTTGTTTGTTTGTTTGTTTTTGGTTTTGTGTTTTGTTTTTTTTTTAAAACTTACAGTCTTTAACATCTTTGCTCCGTGGCGCCTCAGCAACGCAGAGCTCCGGCTTCGCAGGGGTGCTGGAAGTCCGCACCAGATGGGCTGTTTCTCTACTGTCACAATGCAAATTCAGTGGAGCCGAGGGAAATGCCCAGGAGACCCGTGCCCTGGGGCGCCAGGGTCCCCTTCCCAGCGAGAGCTACTCGAGAGGAAGGAATGAGCTGGCATGTGCGAGCTCTTTCTCTCACATCTTGCCCCGAGCAAAGTGTTTCAAAAATCAGGTGAGTTTGTACTCGTGACTCTGCCTTTCTCGATAACCGCGGTATATAACAACACCCTGGAGAGGTATGTGCAAGGGGATGACGGAAACTTTGCTGTGCACGGCTGACTCGGTCTAAGGTGCTCCCTCCCTCGCCAGCAGCGGCCTGGCAACCGAGGCTTCTGTCTCCGGCATCTACCTGTTCGGGGCCAGGCTCGCCTGGGGGCCGCCATCCCGCCGGGCTGCCCTCACCCGCGCTCCGCCGGCACGTACTGGCACCCGCCGGTAGAGAGGTTCGGTGCTCACTACAGCCGTTCCCATCGCATTCCCGCGCTGGGCACCTTTCTTCCCCGAGACCCCGGCGCGGCGCCCGCAGGGCGAGCCAGTTTCCCCGGCCGTAAATTGCCCGGTTCCGCTCCTCCGTCGCACCTGCCCGGCCAGGGCGCGGGGCGGGACACGGCGGCGGGTGCCTCAGGAGGGAGCGCGGGGGGAGCCGCTGTCCCCAGGCTCTCTTATCCCTGCCAGCCGTCAGCTCGGGCAGCTACGCGGAGCAGCCGTCCCGCTGCCCTCCCCCCAGACCGCGATCTAGAGCAGGAATGCCGAGTGAGAGAGGCCTGGGGTGTAAATCCAGGGAGGAAGAAACGGGAAGATCGGTGGTCTAGAACGGGGCTGTATCATGATCAGAGCTGCACAACTGCATCAGACCACGATGACTGGATTGTCTTGACCTCATGAGGCAGCTCAGGCTCAAGCGAGTTCAAGCATTTCCTTAATCAGCAGAAGTTGAAACCGAATCTAACATTTCCAAATTAGAAGGCAAGATTCTGTGTGATGAGCATTACTTTGATTCAAATTAAGTCTCCTCTTCCAGTAAAAAAAATAACATACTTCCTCAAATGCTGGAAAATCCCTCATTAAAATCCTTGTAAACGGGAAGCTTATTTTGTATACTCTTTGGCAAACAATGCAGAAAGAATCCTATGCTGGTTTAGGAATAGTAACAGTAGTGGTAACACAACTCACATGTGGGCTCCATACCAACTGCAACTGTCATTTTAGTGGCACAAAATCAGCTTGTTCAAGTTCATGAGGTGGCAAACTTTGGAATATAAATCTATCAGTTTGTTGCCAATGTGATTTGTGAAAGGGCTTCAGAAGGTTCAAATCCAACACAAAACATCATGTTCTTTGTTCTGATGCTCATTTTGTTCTTCCTAAGCAGTTGAGTTCCTGTGCAGCTTGGAAATGAGCAATAGTCACTCAGTTTGTACTATGAGGTAACAGTGACCACTTTTTAAAAATTATTTTGTAAATCGTGAGTTATTTCCATTTTGGAAAAAAAAAAGTGAAACAAAATGTTCCAGGGGAATATTATTTACAAACTATTTTTCTGAGGCAATGCCAAGCAGTTCACATAGAATGGGCTCTCCTTGGACATGCAGGGTCTCCTCTGGATGCTGCCCCATCCCTTGCAGGGAAGTTGGCCTGGAAGAGCATCCAGCTCTTGTACTTATTTACTGATTATCTTGGGTGTGTCATTTAACCTCTTGGTGTTGTCTTATGTACAAAAGACTTTACAATATGTATCTACTCTTGCAGGGGGATTGTGAGGATTAGTTGCTGTTTGTACAGCATTTTATTAAGGTTGAGTTTTATTCCAAAAGCAAAGATCTAAAATGTAGACATCAATGGGAAATCAGTTTGAGACAAATATTCTGTGCTGGCATGCAAGAAAATTGTTGTTTGAAGCCAGTGGAAGGACTTTTGTGTGTTTCATTTTAGGTTTAAATTTTACTGTATTTATACACCACAAATATGAATATACTTTGATATATTCCAGGTTGTATGAAATCAGCAGAAAGATGAACTTCAAGGGCAGAGCCTTGTGTGACATGATCTGGTGTGAGGCATCCCTGCTCATGGCAGGGAGGTTGGAACTAGATGATCTTAAGGTCCTTTCCAACCCAAACCATTCTATGATTCTGTGATACTAATAGAAGAATGATAATGCATGAATGATGTAAAACCTCAGTCAAGCTCCACACAGAAAAGCCTGGTTGTTAGTGCATGCACTTAGCCAGCTTTGCCTGTGCCAAGAGCACAGTGACAAGAGGTGATTCCATTTCTGGTAGTCCCGTTGGAGGTGCTTTTGGTGAGTATTACATCTGATAGGTTTCAGATCACCGAACAATACCTGCTAAATGAGGGTAGGATGCATATTGGCAGGGGAAAACCTGGTTTGGGTCTTTTGGGTCATGGTTGCTTCCCCAGCATGGGGTGACATGGGGTGATACTGGATTAGGGGACAACATTCAGAGTGTGACCTTTATATTTCCTGAAGGATGAGTTGACTGTAGAAGGTATTGTAAGCTTTCACACTTTTTTGGTGGTAAGCACACAGTGAGTGTGGCAATGTTGTTCCTTGTGTATTTTCAGCCTCCTGAAGGGGCTGCATCCCCACAGTTCTTCCTCTGAGATAAATATATGACTGCTTACTCAGTCTTTCTGGAGACCTAGGCCTTGGTGTCCTCCCAGAGCCACTGCTTTGTGAGCCCCTGCAGCTCTCATGAGGAGCCAGGCTACTCTGCTGCAACACAGGGAATTACGGTTTTGGTGGTCTGGATGAAAGTTCAGTTTACTTTGCATTAGACTTTATGTGAGCAAACAGTCTGTCTGCTCCACTTCCTCATTTGTCCTGTAAGAACATAGGATTGCTCTATACTTAAGGGACGTTAAGGAAGTAAGTTATGTATGACTTTTGCTGTTCATGCAGGTACACATCTGTGTTCAAACCCAAATGAACAGTGACCTTCCTATTATATGAGTACTTAAGGTGGGATGTTTTTTATGACATGCTTTATAAACTAAACAAGCTTTGGCTTAATTGGTCTAGATGGAAGAAGGAGCAAGGGTGTAAAGTGGGTGCTAGTAGTATTGGGGAATCAATAAGTAGCATCTTCCTCTTGATCCAGCATTTGTTACTGTCCTGGGAAGGTGATGTTCTCATGCTTAGAGGCGCTTGAACAGCAGTGAGACGTTACTAAGATTTGTTATTACATATTGAACCTTTCTATGAGTGCAGATACGATAACCCTAAAATCCCATTTCAGCTCCAAATTAGGTAATTTCTTAGTGTCTCTAACCCCCCACCCCCCCCACCCCCCCCCCGGTTTATCTGTACAGAACATCACCCCTTGCTTTTGTGAACTGTTGCATGTCCAGGCTTTGTGCTGTCGAACAACTGCACTGTCAGAACGATGGGTAATGTGTGACTTCATTAAGATTTGTGTTCCTTTGTTGCTACTTCAGAAATACTTTTAATCAAAAAGCTCAGTGTTTTGAAAAAATCTTCGTGGTTTCCAGTCATTAAAGACTACAGGATCATGAACCAAACTGCCTATGCATAACGTCAGAAAGATTTATTCTTCTACTTAGTATACAAAGTGATGGACCCCACAAATTGCATCTGTTTCTCACAAGCATATTCAGTCTTTTTGATGTATGTAGTATGCATTTTTCTTTACTCCTAAAGTTATCAAGCAATTTTATTAAGTTTAGGTCTTTATACATGGCATCTAAACATCATTCAAAACAGTTAAGCCATGAAGATGATTACTGCAAGGAGATTTTGACTGCTGCCCTCCAGTGAGAAGGCGCAAGAGGGAAGACTGTCATTGGTTGCTGAAGTTTCCTGACCTCTGGCTTATCAGCAAGACACTATCGGTATGTCCCAGCTAAGTAGGAGGTGTAAGAATTGCATGTTCGAAATAGAAATGTCTCTGTGGAACTGCTGATGGTTGTCTGCTGGGTCCCTT